AGAGTATAGATCAGAGTACTCATTTGAAACAATGGGAAATCCGGGTTTTAAGATGAAGTTAGCTTGCTCTCCATTACTGTTTCATGATCGGAGTTGTTTTTTGTTCTGGTTTGTTATTTTGGTGGGGAGGGAGGAGGGCGGGGGCTTATTTTGTTGTGCTTCTGTTTTTGGAGGAGGGTTTGGAGGGGAGGTCCAGATGGTGATAACACCCAAAATATACAAGGTACCAGTACCTCCTGGAAACAGAAGGAAGACAGTCCCCATGCCAAGAATTTCCAATCTAAATGCCCAAACAAGGATATAGGTTTCAAATAAAGGCCCAGATTTTGGGTAACCCCTGTGGACTATAAAGGGATGAAAGGGTCACACACACATACAGAGTCTCTGCACAACCTTGCCAGAGTAGAACACCTGAAAACAGACAGATTTTTTTAATGGATGGCATGACTGCATTCACCTACCTGTTCAAGGAGCTATGAGAGAGAGAGAGTGTGCATCTTTCCAGTGTTGCTCCAGAGTGGCATGGCTTTGCTATTTCTCCTATCCAGGGCTATGGCCTGTTGTCTGACTGATGGTGATCAGGCTAGGTATGGGCATACCTCCTACTAATTAAAATTTTGGTGGTTATCCTTTTGTTTCCTCATGCCCCCAAACCCATGATTATTCACTGCCCCTGTCTTCCTACAACAACAGTTTCCCATTTCATTTCCAGTGTGCTAATGGCTCTTCTTCCCAACATTCAACCAAAGCAGCTGTTTCAATGAGATTATCAAGCCATGTGTTACCATCTGCTCCATGCTGGGTGGCCATGGGAAGTGTCAGAAGTTACGCATTTTCACTCTGCAAAAAATCTCATCTACAAGAACTGTTATCATCCCTGGCATGCTAGTCTGATTGCAATTAATGTTTAACCTCATATTAGGGACACAGCCTAAACAGAACTTGAGAGTATCACATAAAAAATAAATTAACATGCCAACCTGAAATAGCCTCTATTTTTGTCCATGCCTCCATGTTAATATTCACACATATTTGGAGTTGGGAAAGTTGCACACAAGGAGATATGCAAAAGGCATCAGATGGCCCAAAGCAGGCTTCACCACATGTTACAAAGCTGTGTGATTTATACACTATTATATTAAACTGCTAATGTATTCCTGCATACATATCTGAATAGGACTGCAATTATTCACCAGCCCTCATTATCATGATGGAAAAATCACTTTGAGAAATCTGCATATATATTCTAAGATGGTTTATGTTCACTGCAGTCGATGGCCTTTTAGTACTTACAGGCAAAAGTTGAACTTATCCATGGGAGGAGAGGTTTCCACAGCCACGCATCAGGTCAACATTACCCCCAAATGAACACGGGCAAAGCATCACCTCCGTGACATGAAGGGGAGGAAAGATCTTGCTATAATACAGCCAGGAACATAATCTGCTTATAGTACTAATCAAATGTTTGCAACTAGACAAGGAAACACACCATTCTTTTTGGATAGCACGCTCACCAATAAAAAAAGGACCCTGTTCCACATTGTACGCATTATGTGATCAGTACTTCTCTGTTAACCCACTCTTGGAAGTAGGTCAGGCATCTAAGGGTAACTCCTAAGATTAAGGATCAATAAATGAATAATTAATCTGCAATAGTTTGAGCTGTTTCTCTTCTCACTTAAGAATATAAGACTTCAGGGCTCCTCCTGGATCATCAGGTTCAAACTCTGGCTATCATAGACTGCAGTTCATATAATTATTTTCTTATACTTAGAAAACTCTGTCTTAAGTTAGTTACATATTTTACCCCCACTAAAAACTCTCATGGTTAGAAGTCTTTGCCTATTTTCCAGACTAAATTGTTCAGTCATTTGTTCTTGCATCAACACTGGATTTGACATTAAATGAATTTACCCCTTCTTGATGTTTACCCAAATTGATATATGTATAGGTAGAAATCACATCCCTTCTCAGCTTTCATTTTGGTAGCCTAACCAAACCAAGATATTTTAAGCTCTCAAAAGATTGACTTGCTGTTTTTCTAATAATTCTAATAGTAATTCCCCTCACTTGTCCCAATTTAAAATTAATCTTTTTTGAAAATAGGTGACCAAACATGACCTTAATTTTTTATCAGTGATGTATTTCCAATAAAGATAAGGAAGCATTAATGATGTTGTGGAAGGCACTAGTTAAATACTTCATATGGAAAAGTGTATACAGCTTGGTCACCTGCACTACTGTTAATCTGTTCAGCTCAGCAAGACCACACAATAAGGCAAGTTAGGCTTTGGAATCTGCAGCTACTCATCCCTCTCACACCCTTTTGCTCCATGCACCTCTTGGTAAACTCTCTAAATGTCTCTAAGTCTCTCAGTAAAATTTCTAATGCCTAACCCAAATTTTAAGTCAGGCAAACGCATGCCAGATGCAATCCTGGCCTCTTGTACACTAGCTTTAGACAGGGGAATGAAAAGAAAATTGACCTAGTGTCCTTAGATGGGGAGCCCAGGTAATCGGTTCCTCATCTTAGATAAATGACCCCTTCCCTCTTTGGGCACATATCAGGGACTAACTAGGAGCGTATACAAGTTCAGACACTACCACTGTGCTCCTTACCAGTAAAGCCATTAGCAGTTGTTCCATTAGCAGTTACCACAACCATAAACATAATGAATAACCTATATCAAGTGGTAGATTCATTAATGTAATTAGGTGACGCTTAATGTCTGACTAACGTCTTCTGAGCTAAACACTTTTTTCACATAATTTATCATTTACACAAATACTTTTCATGCAGTGAACTTCTGGATTTCAAACTTTTCATTCAGTCAACACCTGACTGATTATGGCAAGTCAAACAAAATTGAAGTGTGAAACCACTTACAGGTTTGTTTGGTTTTTTTTAAGATAATAACACTATAATTATCTAGAAATTGATTACTACTCACAATTCAAAGTAACTCTTTGTTGAAAAAAAATTAAACACACTTACCTTCAGTATGCACAGCAGAAACATAGGTCCAGTTATACCGTTTGACTATGTCCACCATGGCCCGAGCTTGTTGTGCATCAGATGGAACGACTCTCATGAAGTATTTGAACAGAGTTTTGTCACTTAAGTCCATGCTTGTGGCAGAATAAGCTATCTGAGGTATATTGAAAAGCTGCAACAAGTTCTGGACTTGGATAGCTACTGAACTAGAACCAGGTCCAATGACACCAACAATCGGCTTTTTGGAGCGGAAAGATGATGAAGATCCATCAACACAGCGTACCAGCCCTTCCTCTTCTTCCGACGAAATAAGAGAGTCCCTTATAAACTCAATGCTTTGCTCCAAAGCCACAGCAGAATGCCAACATGAGTCTCTTATTTCACAGCCTAATGTTATATTTGGCAATAGTGTTGGGTCCAAATTAATTCTGTCAAGGGTATGAAGCATTGCCTCCACTCTCTGTATGCCATATTGCTCCCTTACCTCTCCACATTTCCTCTCATGGACCTTGTCAACAGTTGGCTGATGATGGACTGAAAACAGAGCTCCGATAATAATATCACCAGGCACATATGCAACCACCCTTCTTTCATTGGTCTGTGCAGAAACCAAAAGTCCAAAGTTCCCGTTGACATCCTCCTTCAATAATAGGATTGCAAGGATCAGCAAAAGGACCATTTTAGGAAATGGTTTAAGCTGGTAGAGACATGTTGGAATACAATGGAGAGCTGTTAAAGAGCAGTTAGTATACCTTCTGGATAAGAGGAGCAGAAAACTGATGGTTAACCAGGTATTTCCATGTATTCTTTAAGGAACCACCATTGTCTCCAAGGAAACAGCTATGCAGAGCTGCACACGTGAGCATAATCTTCATATCCTTAAAAAAAAGTAAAACAGAACTAGCTTTAAAATCAGTTGTAAAGATGAAATCCTGTAGTCAACGATTAAAAAAAAAAAAAAAACAACGTATTAAGTATTTACTATTTAATATATCATTCAAGCTGGAAATCCTTCTTTTTTTGTATTTTACTGTATAATACCAAGCCAGATACTCAACTGGTATAAGTAAGCATAATTTGAATAAAGTCCACATGATCTCTAAGGGATACACAAAGGACAATTTAGGGGAGACTGACTGTCAGAGGCACAACCAATAATTACACACCTGGCATCCATTGATTTTTAATGGTATTTATTTGCCATTGCGCAAATAAATGTGTGCACCTTTCTAAGCTCCCCTTCCCCATCTTCAGCCTTTTAAGTATTTTTATATTTTGATTCAGAATACAAATAAACCTCAACAATATGCACCGGGCTTCATTTTGCTGTCAATTTACACAATTTCCAGTGGAATCACTCCAGATGTATGCTGCCAGGAAGAGCAAATTTTGATTTTTTTGCATTTTTTGTAAAATTCAGCTTCTTAAATAAAACAGCTATATTTGCAATTGAAAAATTTATTTGAAAACAAGGGGGTTTGATAGCAGTTCCCAACTATATCATGTTAATTAATATTGTATTATTTGTACATATAAGTTACTCTGTCATAGATGCAGTAGATTAGCTCCAATTAATAATACCAGATTAGCTGAAAGGTTTTTCATCTTTTTGTATCCTCCGTCAACTTCCTTACTGATGCTATGAGCATTCAAAACAGCGAAGGTATGTGTCCTCAGTGGAGGGAGCAGCAGGGGCAGGGGGCAACAGCAGGTGGCTACAGCAGCTGGCCAGGGACTGGAAGTGGCTGCTGTTCATGTGCCCCCTTTGAGTGGACACCTGGGGCGGATGCCTCAGTCACCCACTCCTCATTATACTTCTGGCAAATCCACTCATTTCTGTAGGGTAGCACCCCATCATGCCCATGGCAAGCATATCTCTTTTATATAAAGAGCTGATAGAAAACCAACATACAACACACATGTACTTACACACAATATTTGTTAGTTATTCCCTGTAAACTACCAAAAATATGCATTTTATTTTTCTTATAGTGCCTTTGATACCATGTTTTCATTTATCATCAAAGCCCTTTTGTCCTGGTCAGTGTGACAACTTGGAAATGCTCAGCAGTTCACAGCAAGTGCTTAGCACGCAACATGACTTCATTTCAAAGGTGTTTCTAATATACCAACACTCACATTTTAGATGCTGTGAATGAACCTGTTCATGTAAATGGAACCGTTCATAGTACATGGAATGCAAATCAACACATGCAATTAAGGTGCAACAAACTCCAGCGCAGTTCGCGCTGTAATCAGCTGCCCCGAGGTACAGCATCTACACACATGCCCAGGATCACAGCACTTTGAGCTTAGGCAGAGCAGGCACAGGATTGCAGGCATCCTGAGGTGTCAGTCCTAGGCTCCAAGTGGCAGCGTCTGGTGGTAGAAAGACTGGCTGGGGCCCAAGGGTGCTAAAGTGTGGGGCTAGGTAGCAGGCAACCCCTGCTCTTTAGCACCCTTGTTTCCCAGCCAACTCCTATCACCATCTACACCTGTGTTTCATCACACATAAATGCTCCTCCGTAAGGTAGTATGGTCCCCAACAGTACTACCTTATGGTGGAGTTAATTAATTTACTGCACCCGAATACCGGTGCACCTGTAGATGGTGATGCTTTACTGTGGAGCTAATTAGTCAGCTCCACAGCAAAGCACATGCGTAGATGCATCCAGAGTTGAGTACAAATTTAAGCCTTTTAAGTTTCCTAGCCAATGGGTGTATCTACATAAAATGCTTTTCTACGCAGCAGACTCATCTGCTGTGCAGCAAAGTGTTACCACCTACACGTGCACAGCAATTAGAGCACAGTAGACTAACTTACTGCACTGCTGGATAGTCCCATCAGATACAAGTGGTATCCAGCAGTGCAGTAAATTACTGCACTTAAATACACGCATAGATGGTTATGTCAGGATTATCTTACTCTGGCTCAAATTGAGCATATTCAGTCACATTAATTGCATGTGTAGATGCACCCACTAGTAGGGGTAAATATATGCCCTATCCTATGACAAATGAAACAACTGCTAATTCTGATTCAGATTCTGATCTCAAGTACCCTGTTGTAAGAGTTGATGTAGTTAGGATCTTAGGACTTTCTAAACTAGACCAGATTCATTGTCACTTCTAGTCACATAATCTGTCTCCAACAATGACCTGTACCAGATGCTTCAGAGAACAGTGTCAAAAGCTCCTGCAGTAGGCAGCTGTGCCATAGCTTCTTCCAATCAGGCTCTAACAAGGCCTCTTAATCTTGCTGCTCACTCACAACTAGAGTTTAAATCCAAATCACAATGAAGATAAAGGCTACCTATACACATGCTCAGAGGTGGAAGGGGGCGGGGGGAAGGTGTTAATTAGAGAGGTTCCCAGGTAGCCATTCTAATTAAAACACCAGTCACAAATTTTAGAAATTTTAGCCCCCACAAATTTTAGAAATGGCTGCAAAACACTTTATCTAAACCTCATTTGATGAAGTTTAGTTGAAGTGCCCTGTGGCCATTTTAAAATGCAGGTGGCTTAATAAACATGATGCTGTGGCATTCTAATTAGAATGCCAATGAGCACATGTCTGGGCAGCTCTTCATAATGTTGAAGAATATAGTCAAATAGAAATAAAGCTGTCACTCTCAGGCATTTTTTCTACAGTCATATTTTATGTATATTATTTTAAACTTTTTACACTGAAGGATAGCTGTGCGATAGTTTAAAGAAACATTTTCAAACGCATTTCTTAAAAAAAAAGGGTAATAATGCAATGTTGAATAGAAATGGTCCTGTCCTTGTAATTATAAGTATTAATAGAAAGTGCTAGTAATGAAATAAAGCACACAAAACTTTGTAAATCAGTTTATGACATATTTCTTAGTCTATGAAGACTTAGGATATCACTTTAACAGTCATATGCCATAAAGCAATACATGCAATAGAATCTAGGTCAACTCATCTCAATTTAATTACAGAACATTGCTACTACTTATCTGTCAGCTGTTTGTTGTTTGCTTCTGAAGACAGTTCATATCATCTGTAAATATTTTATGGATGAAGGACTACAGGGCACTTTTGTAAATTATCTCAGTTGAATAAAGTCATATATCTTCAAGTAGTTTAATTTATTCTTACCTTTAAGGTACTTATTCCCCCCTCTAAAACATCATAGGAATTGCATGTAAATAAATGGCTGTTAGCTTTTCAGGTAAAAGATGCTAAATAGGAATTATGCATTGTTGTTACTGAGCCAAGTTCTGGCCCAGTAACAATAATGGCTGGAATTGTAATTATAGAGTCCCATTCATGTCCTGGCTCTCTAGGTAGTAAAGTATACAGCCCAAAGCCAGATTCTGCATTTTTGAATGAACCTACTAATTAATGATTATTCCCCTTACTGGAGCCCACTCCTGTCTTTCTTTAGTATATAACTATTTACAGGCAATTCTGGGCAGAATTAGAAATTGGATTTACACACTTTAATTATCCAACCCATTTCAAAGAAAATATGTGCAAGGGTGATGGCAGTAGGACCTGTTGCTTGTTCCTCTAACTATAGTTTACATCCTTTACAAGGCTGTCTTTGCAAGGTAGCAAGACTCATAAAATAAAAGCATGATTCTTTTTGTGCTCCTTGTTCTGTTTACTTGTATGTTTTAGTTCCACAACATAGATGGAGACCCCCATGGCTGAGGGCAACAAAACCTTCACACTCCCCAGGGGTAGGGTAAAAGAAATAGATTGTGGTCTGAGCTACACCAGAATCAGAGTTACTTCATTTATACCAGTGTAACTATGTGACAAAGTGACCTCTCCAATTTAGGAAAAAATAGTCATAAATCAGGCAGTTCAAGTTTAGACAACCCCCAACAAACACACATTGATACAGATACATTGCAACGATTCTACATTTTGATCTCTGTTCCCCAGTGACCCATAAAGTTTACTGCTACACTCAGCACATGTAAGACACTGTGGAACAGAATGCTTCGGTTTAAAGGTACGTTTATGTTAAGTATTAGGGTTGCCAATAAAGTAGGTGTTTTATACTAAACTATCCAATCTAAGAAGAGAGAGAGAGAGAACTGAAAGACTCTTAAAGAACATATGTATAGTAATGTACTGGAACATGTTTTCTCAATTAATATATACCCACATTCATGTTTTCTTCATTGACATACAAACACCCCAAAATAAATACTTAGGATTTGTGTCTACTTTCACACTAGTTTATAGTGGCACAACATTATGAATTTTATTCTATTTAGTTCCAAGATACTCCAATATAAGCAAGATGGAATCAGGCCTGTAATTACTAGCACATTTCAGTTTTTCAGACATGGGCAGAAATGAGCAGAAGAGTTTTTCTTCTTTCCAATTTTTTCAAAAGCAGATTACTTGCCCTAAACATATCACCCTCAGTAATATATGCTTTTGACTAGAATCTACAACCATGAACTAGAGTGAAAATATAATACCTTCTGTCTATTCGGGTATGAAAAACCTTCTGTATCAGAACTTCTGGGTAGTGTCAATTGGTATGGCTCCTAGGAAGGTATTCAGCTATACCACTTTACCTAAGGATATAAATACCAAAATAAAATTAAACCAGTTAAACATGCACACTTGGATCTCAATCCTCAGCCAAGCTGAGTTTACATTTGGTTCAGCTGAAGAAGAGAGAAGTTG